CCAAGAATGTTCATCATCTAAGCCTATTAGATGTCTATACCCGCCATTACTGTAAAAACTAAGCTTTTTGACAAAAATGAAAAAGAGAAAAAAGGGAAGAAATCTCTTTACCTTTTGATTACTAGGAATGGATGCTCTATTGTAGCATTGAATGCGCATTAACTGGGAAGAGGATGAACTAATCTTTTGAGTGCAAAAACATTGTTTTCTCTCTAAAAGTTTGAGTTTTGTGAAAAACATAGAATAGGCTTTGGGTCTTATAAGGTGGAAGATGACGTTTGGTTTCTTTTATAAGTGACGTTTGGGCGGGAACGCGTTTCCAGCCATTGATTGTGACCACGTGTCACCAATCTGCGTGAAGATCTTCGTGAAGATCAATCGGCGTTTCTCTTTATTGAAATTGTTAAGCCCTAGCGTGATTATCTCATCCATATTAAATGCGCCCTCATCCGTATTTAATAGTTCAAATGGAATGTCGTTTCAACATGACTTGCATTTAATGCTCATGGCTGACACTTATTTCGCAGAGACATGTCTGTGAGATAAAACTGATTTTACTAACCAAGACAACTATGAAGCGCAACGGATAACAACTGAGAAGGTCGTTCGAATAAGACATTTTTTCCACGTGTCAAATTCGAACACCGAGTAAGATGATTCTCAGCTTTCGACAACAAAATATTTTAAGTGTTTTCAGGTCATGAATGACAGATAGAGTTTGAAACACGTTTTTATAGCACTGGATAAGATCTGGCTCAGGTTGTTGGACCTTTAGGCATGATCACGTCAGATCGTTTATGTAATTCTCGAAATCCATGTCACGATCTACACTCAGTTCGTTGGTCAGATCAACCCATCAGCCTTATGTCGTTTGTAACAATGTGGTTGTTCTCAACTGTTAGCTCGAGCAGGCATTCCCGGAGACAAGTTTGATCGCGGCATAATCATGAAGTTCTCAAGATTCAATCTTTGAACCTTAAGAACTTGGGAGCTTTTGTTATGTCTAAAAAATCAGAGCTGACGTAAGCTTGCATCAATGAGCACCAATAAGAGTTTAAGAAGGCTTTGCGCTATCAAGGAGCTGCCACGTTGCCTTGTGACAAAAAGAATACGACTGTCATCAACTTAACAGATTTAGGTTTTGCCTATGAGTGATTGAGGACCGTACACATGTCCAAGCCCCAGATAATTTGAGGATATTTCCTATGCTATCAGTCAATGAGAGGCAAGGAAGGATTTGCGCGACACCTACCCACTTGCAGATTTGTAATCATTACCTTGAATCCCACTACTATAAATAGAGGACTCTGCCTCTCATTTTCGGGATCTTGAACCCTCATTCTGATTGTAATCTTTATTTTCAAAGCAAAGATAACCTACAAGAAAGAGACTGACTTGATATTCTCTTTGATTATTCGGTTATTGTACCTCTACTCGCTGTTTGCTATACGCGACCTCTTGTAATCTCACATATATAAAAGAAACAGTGGATATAGGAATTCTTTTAAGCATTCGAACCACTTTAAAAATCATTTCTCATTTGTTATTCAGTCTTTGCATTCAATTATATTGATTAGCTCTCTCATAATCATTCACATGTAATTTCTAAGAACAGTTTAGTATTTTACACATACGAGTCGTTAATGTCAAAATCACGCATCAAACAATTATGAACAGAAATGTTCATGCAATTTTAAATTAACTGCGACTAAGAGATGAAGTTAACTGACGAATTGTGTTCATAAATAATATGATTATAAAAATGAAAAGAATATATATTATGGGATTATTAAGGATTAGCGATAATAAGATGATCATTTCTAGTCGGGAAGATGACCAACTAACCCGGGTTTAAGATAGAATAGATTAGTTGACCTCATTTTTTTTCTTTTTCGGAGGATCATTAATTTCTTATTTATTAAAGGTAAAAAGAATCAATCATTTCTTTTGTCTGTTTATACTTGCTTGTATTTCAGACATAACAGTGTTATTAATTTATTTAAATAATTTTCCTCACAAATTTAATTGCTTCATATGAAAATTTACGGTTCTATCATATACACCCCCTTAAACTAAAACAGTCACTCAGCCCGCACCAATTTCCAAAACTACAAGATACACCGGTTCTAGTTAGTTTGAGCCGTTAAGATTGGCAGTTGACCCTGTTTGAACCATGCAATTACGAAATTATCCTTAATTTTTATAAGAATTGACAAATTTACCGTGTAAATATTACTCCCTCCGTTTTTTTTTTAATTGACGTTTTAGGTGTAGGCACAGGTTTTAATAAAAAAAAAAAAAATTTCTCTCTCCCACCAACCTTTTTCCCTGATTTTGCAGGTGGGAGAGACTTTGAAAGTGGGAAACTTTCCGGCTTATTTAAATAACATTTTTATCAATTTTGTCTTATTGCATTTGTTTCTCCCACCAACTTCATCTATTTCTTTTCTTTTACGCTGCTCCAGTTCTTTAATTTTTTCGTCCCTCACTCGTTTCTGTTCTCTTTGATTCTATGCGGAACACAATAATACAACAACATCACAAATTTGACAATAATGCAACAACATCACAAATTGATTTTGACAATGATTTTGATAAGAAAAAAAGCATCACAAATTTCTAAACTCAAATCTACTACGCAACTACCATAAACGCCCATTTTCTCCTTTTTCTCCCATGGACACCACTCAACCAGACTAGTCCACTCTCCCCGCACTTCTCCTCAACGCCATCGCTAAACGCCTCGCCATACGCATAGACATCCTCTCTTTTCGTGCCGTCTGTAACTCATTCAAGGACTTTCCTTTCCCATCATCTGTATCGTCACTCTCCTCTCAACTCCCTCAAGAAACTTCAGCTTTTGTTAACACCCGTGTGGATTGGAAGGAAACCCCAAAAGCTCACAAGTTCAAGGCTGATCTTCCAGGGCTCAAGCAAGAGGAAGTGAAGGTGGAGATTGAAGACGACAGGGTGTTTCAAATAAGTGGAGAGAGGAACATATAGAAGGAAGACAAGAAAAAGAGAGAAAAGATGGAAGCAGAGACAGATTAGAGAAAGAAGAAGTGGCGATGGAAAATAAGGAAGAGAGGAGAAGAGGGGAAGAGATAAGATAAAGATTAAAGATTAAAGAGGACAGAGGCAAAAAGTAGAGAAATGACAAGATGGAATGGAAAGAGAGAGGGATGATAAAAAGTGGAGAAGGCATAATGAAAGGTGCAGACAAGACAAAGGCAGAACGACTTTAATTTTGAAAATTTTAAAAAGTCTTAAAACGACAATTAAAAGAAAACGGAGGGAGTATATACAATTTAAAACTATAATTTAAAGTTCAAATTATTATTTTTATACAAAATATAAAAATAAAAAAATTGAAATTTAGTTTAAAAATTTTGAAACTTGAAAAAAGAAAAATGCAGATCACAGATCCGCAGCCATGGCAACGATCATATTGTTGCCTTGACCTAGGCTAGGAGTAGATCGCAACCAAAATCCAATGGTTGCAATCACAACCACAACCTGGTGGCTGCCCTCACAATCGTAGATCATGACCGCGATCTGATGGCTGTGATCTTGTGGCTCTGGTTGCGCATTGTAGTCGCTATTTTTACTTTTTATAAAAATAAAAATAAAAAAAATAAATAAAAACTAATTTATAAATTTTTTTAATTTTTTAAATAGTTATAGAAATTTTATTAATATAAATTTTTTTTTTTCTAAATATTGTTTTAATTTAGTTTTTATGGATTACAAAGAAAAAAAGAAAATATTTTCAGATTTTATAAATATATTTTAAAAAAAAACTCTTCATATTTCCTTATTTTGCTTATTTAATTTTTTTTTTTTTAAGTTTTTCTTGCTGTATCTTTTGTTTTTAGAATTTTCTTATTTCATTTTTGTGTGAATTGTCAATCTTACCCTCCCTGTCATCCATTTTAACAGCTCAAATAAGAGGGGGTGTATTTGTAGTCTTAGTTTCAAGGGGTGTATTTGGTAAAAACCCATAATTTCATATAACTTTAATTACTTCTTTAAAATGCAACACATATTAGAAAGGAGAAGAAGCATAAATAAATGAAAAAATTTAAAGAAAATTCTTTAAGTTGAGGAAGGGCATAGTGTCACGGGCTGGGAGTTTCACACCCAAAAGGCTAACCTATTAGGTGGAGAGACTCCCCCCATTTATAAGCCCAAGACCTCTCCAATACGCTTTCAATGTGGGATTTGTTACATTCTCCCCCACTCAATCCTGTGACGCCCTCATCACAGGTGGGGCCCTCCGCCTACCCATCCACCTCACTCTCATGTGGACTCACAATCACACGTGGACGCTCCTGCGTGGGCGCTTGGTGGGACATCGAAAGATGAATTGGATCTGCTCTGATACCAACTGTCACGGGCTGGGAGTTTCACACCCAAAAGGCTAACCTATTAGGTGGAGTGACTCCCCCCATTTATAAGCCCAAGACCTCTCCAATACGCTTTCAATGTAGGATTTGTTACAATAGGCCCCTCCTGGACATATAGTGGCTCCGTGAGTACTCCACACTTCCTTCGCCAGCCCCCAACTTCGAAATTAGAGTCTCCATTAAACTTTACAATCTTTATAAAGTGCAAACTAATGGCTTTTTGACCATGCATGTGTTCATTAATTAAATGAAATAATTTCAAAACCTTTATTTATTAGTATGTTGAGATTAAATTTATTAACTCATTTTACCTAAATATAACAAAAAATGTACAATAATTCCATAATTAGGTTGAAATAACATAAATAAAGGAATAATGTTAACGAATTTCCCCGGAGAAGATTAAACAAATTATGCTCCTAATTTATTAAGAATTTAAGATGCATATGTATATGAATCGAATTGTAAAAATGGAATATGTTTTTTATTAAATTAGATCAATCAAATATATGTAGATATATGTATATACAGTAGATCAATTAAATTAATAGTTTTTCCTCCATACAATAATTTTGATGGCAGTGAATTAAATAACTAAGCCGTAAAAGCATTACTAATGCCGACGTTGTTCTTAGCTATCTTGATCAAATTCTTATTGATCTTCTCCAATGGTGACTTCTCTGTGGTTAATTCAGTAAAAGCATCGTCACAGTCATAGATCATTGTAATGGTACCGTCGAGTGGGACAACATCCTTACCGGGAATAGAAGAAATTGCTTTATCATTGCTTTCAAGGACGTTGTCATAACTTTCTAAGCAAACGTTCAAACAATCTCCAATTTCTGGCGTAGTTTTGGGATCCTTGAAGAGCTTTTTGGTTTGTCGAATGGCCTTATGGGTTTCGGTGGTGAGGGCTTTCAAACCTAGTTGAAGAATTGAAATGGGATCGGTCTTCTGGGAAGGGCCAAGTAAAGGAACGATGGTGCTGATGCATACATCTGGGAATTCAGTTCTGTCACAAATGGTTTTAACGGCAGGGGGAACTGGACCTTTATATGAAGGATGATGAGAAGCAGTGGGACCGGAGCTGGGGCTTAAGCTTAAACGAGCTTCGGTGCTGTGCAAGGAGAGGAGAGAAAACAAAGAGAGAGCCAAGATGATGCAATTAGTGTATGCCATTATTGTGTATCTTCTTGGAGGGAAAACTGATTGAAGAGAACATAATCAGGGGTGGCTTATAAAGATGGAGCAAATGGTTCTGCCTGCAAGTTTTTACGGAACATTCATCTGCCTTTGGTTTGCAAAAATAGCCAAGATTGACTTGACCCCCGTAATATCCGAGTTACTTCAACCTATTATAGGACCACCAAGGAAAAATATAGTAGTTCAAATTACAGATACCAGGTGGATGAATGGAGAACTATGAGAAGAACTTTATAGATCTAAGTTTTCATAAAAATTGTAATGCAATAGAATACGGATCACACAATTACATTGCATGAGGCAAAAACAATAAGACACGAGTTGTTTATTGATATAATAATTAATGTTGAAAGCATACTATATAATGCAAATGGGCTTTCATATAATATGAAATTGATTAATTAATTCATGCATTGTTTTATAGAAAACAAGTATATAAAGTGTTTACAGCGTGAGGATTCTCGTCCATTAATTTACTGAACCCTCTGAAAGACTTAATGCATAGGAATAGTTTCACACATGAATTAATGAATTTCCCCACAAAAACAAGGTAACCAGACAAAAAAAAAAAACGTTTTATCTTTTAATACAATAGTTGTGTTGTGTTACAATTAATGTGAAATATTCTTCTCCCCGTAGNACATTGCATGAGGCAAAAACAATAAGACACGAGTTGTTTATTGATATAATAATTAATGTTGAAAGCATACTATATAATGCAAATGGGCATTTATATATTATGAAATTGATTAATTAATTCATGCATTGTTTTATAGAAAACAAGTATATAAAGTGTTTACAGCGTGAGGATTCTCGTCCATTAATTTACTGAACCCTCTGAAAGACTTAATGCATAGGAATAGTTTCACACATGAATTAATGAATTTCCCCACAAAAACAAGGTAACCAGACAAAAAAAAAAAACGTTTTATCTTTTAATACAATAGTTGTGTTGTGTTACAATTAATGTGAAATATTCTTCTCCCCGTAGCCATCAGCTGAAGAGCTTTTTGGTTAGCCGGATGGCCTTTTGGGTTTCGGTAGTGAGGGCTTTCATACCCAGTTGGAGGACTGAAAGGGGGTCATTATTGTATTGTCAGGGCCTGATAATGGAACGATTGTGTTGATGCATACATCTGGGAATTCAGTTTCCTCGCAAATATCTTGAACAACCGGAGGAACTTGACCTTTATATGGAGCAGGAGAAGGAGAAGGAGTAGGAGTCGGAGCAGAGGTGGGTTCTAAACCGGCTTCGACGTACAATGAGAGTTCAACCTGAAAATCAATATCCGATAATAGGACCGTGCAATCATTGGATTTTTCCTTTTTAGATATATTCCAAATTCAGATGATCAGATGGATGCGTATATACAGCGCCGTTTGGAAGAATTTCAAATTAACTTGGACCAAATTCTAAATTTCAATGTTCTTAGCAATATAATGACTTTAAACTTATTAAATTGAAATTCAAACCAATGAATTATAATAAAGTCATGAATATGTAATCCATGATACTTCCCCCCAAAAAAAAATATGTAGCCATGATTCAATTGAAAAAAAGAAGCTACAATAACGTGATTATATATATAATCATCCTTATAGAAGAAAATCCACGAGTTACCAATGTAAATTATGACTTCAGTAAAACTTTATTTGGACAAAAATGAAAGACTCCAATTTTTTATGATTATGTTAAGAAAATTGGCTTTTTTTTTTTTTATGTTCTTTAACAATAAGATAAAAAGTAAAAACTATCTAGAAGAAACAAAAGAGAAAAAAATTAATTATAACCTTGGAAAGCCAATCCAATGAAACAAGCTACAAGGAGATATATATACAAGATTCCATCCACCATGTAGAGAACCGCTGTCCAGGGGAAAATTGAACACTGAACAGTGTTTCTCCAATAAGTAAAACGAAAGAGCACCCATTGCCCCGGCCACCCATCACAATTGCAAAACCTATGAAACTTCTAAAACATCCTACTGTTTCTACTTGGGAAATTCTTTAATGTTGTGTTGAGCATCAAAAGATTTAAGGTTTCTGGTTAACTTACTTTCAAGTGTCTACCGTCCTTCATGAAGATCTTCAGAGAAAACTGCTGTCCGGGAGATGTTGTCATTATCAAATGCACTTAGACCAGAGTACGGACCAGAAGAGAACATTGAAGATGTCCCATCAGAGTCGAAAGTAGTTGATGACTGTCTCAGGTTGGCCCGATTATTCGAAGAGGTTAATGCTGGATCCTGATATTCAGTGACACGCTGTACCATTTTTAGTGACTGTACCACTTCCCCCATTGTGGGCCTTTGACTTGCTTCAGGAGCAACACAAGCAGCTGCAATGGTGCAAACCCGTAAAAAATCTTCCTTTGGGTACTTTCCTCCAAGCCTTGGATCAGCAAGCTCTTCCAGTCGATCCTTGTCTCTAAGAATTGGCCTGGCCTGAAATTTATACGACACATTTCTTTTACCTTTTCTCCGAACCATTAATTTATATAAAAACGAATAAAATTGATTTTAATCAGGCTCTGATTACAAATGCCAAATTGTGAACCCTAAAATAATGACAATGATTACATAAATTAAAATGAGAGACTGAAAATTGATCTGGTTCTACTAACCCAAGTGACTAAGTTCTCTTGTCCAGAGGGTTGTGACATCTCCACAGGCTTCCTTCCAGTTAGCAATTCAAGGAGGACAACCCCATAGCTGTAAACATCACTTTTTACCAGTAGGTGTCCAGTCATAGCATACTCGGGGGCAACATACCTATCAAGCAATTCCATTAGATCTTTAATGCCCAGATTAGTAAAGAAATAACAAGATCAAGAAGATTATAGAAGGAAACCAACCCAAAGGTGCCCATCACACGAGTAGATAGGTAATTTGTCCTGCCTTCAGGTGCCTGTTTGGCAAGACCAAAATCAGCAACCTTGGCATCGAAGTTGTTCTCAAGCAATATATTGGATGCCTTGAAATCTCTGTGAATAACACAAGGTTGTGAGTCTTCATGGAGGTATGCAAGTCCTCTTGCAGCGTCTAGGGCAATCTTCATTCTGGTGTCCCAATCCAGAGGACAGTTTACACCTAAATGACCTGGGGTAAAACAGGATTAGAGTAATATAGTGTATCTACCATCAAAGATATCCTAAGAGTACTTAATATCTTGCCCTCTAACAAATGCTCAATCTTCACAGAAGCAAAATAATACCATCAAACTCTAAGCCAGTATGCAAGAAGCTATTTACCATGGAGCCAAGCCTCTAAGCTTCCATTAGGAACAAGCTCGTAACAAAGCAGGTGTTGCGATGAGTCGCGACTGCTATAGTAACCGACAAGTTTCACTAGATTACGGTGATGCAACCTGCTAAGCATCTCAACTTCAACCAAAAACTCTTTATCTCCTTGTTGCCCTCCACTGGTAAGCCTCTTGATTGCTACAGCAGTACCATCACTTAAAACACCCTTGAAAACTCTCCCAAACCCACCCTCTCCTAGTACGCTTGCGGGTTCGAAGTTGTTTGTTGCTTCTTTAAGCTCTTCATAGGCCAGAAATCGTGTACTGGTAGGGTGAGGAAGAGATCCGGCTGCAGGAACAGCATCTGCAGTCCTTGGCTTTGCTGGAAAAAAGGATGAAATGAAAAATGACTTATTTTTAATCCAATAAGAGTATATTATGTCATTAAGTTTGTCATGTGTATAAAAAGTTGAACTGGTTGTTAACCTTCCTAGGTTCAACTACATGTGCACCGAGTTTAAAACCAGGGTTTCCTGTTAGATCCTATAACCTTTACCAATAAAAAAACTAGCAGGATATAATAATCCAAATAGATGGTTTAAGGGTAATTTGAAGTTTTGTCCAATTGATCGGAAGTCACCCAGCCTCAGCTACTAATTTTAAAAGAGATTACAAGGATAATTCTCTTTTTAATTCACAAATTCTCTGGTTACATGGATACTTCAAAAAACTAGGGACTAATAAAACCAGAGAGAAAGCACAAATAAGAATGAACTACAATTAAGAACATACCAGTTTCTTTAGGAGAGGCTTTGTTCTTTCCTTCACACAATGCACACGAACAAATAATAAGCACAGATATAACAGCAATGACCAGTAGGCCAGCACCAATACCAAATATAAGAATCAACTTTGAGTGTTTCCCTTTATTTGAGGCACCAAATGATGAAGAAGTCGATGTTTGATACGCTGGTGCTTTCAAAGGTGACGAACCAATAATAGGAGCTGTATACCAGATGTAAGGTTTCATCAATATATACAACAAGATTAACATCAATAAATTTAAATGCTTATTGGAAATTGAAGAGTATATCCAATAAAAAGGAATGATGCCAAAACAAGTTTCATTAGAAGCAACTGTGCATATTAGGAAGGTCTTACTCTTACAAACACACTCATCCAAAAATGCATGGACACACATACACACAAGTCTCAAACTATCTGAATCAAGGCTAGCTTTCAACTCATCCTTTTCTTTTATTTATTCTTTTCATAAAGGTACAACTGAATTCCAACTCAAAATTTTAAGTTCATAAACTGAACTGCCACCTTTTGTTGGGTTAAATCCGCATGTGACATAAGCTTATTTAGTTACATTGTTGGATCCAAGATTTACAGGCTAGCATTGACCTTTCAAGGAAACTCAAAATTGATCTCTTTTCTTATGTATGTTTTTTATTAAAAAATTCATTCATTTACGTGCAGAGTCATAATTTGACTTCTTCAATAAGTGAAGTTCCTTAGAGAGGCAGACGTAGCAGTATACTTAATGGCCATATAGAACAACTGATTCTGAAAACCCACCTGTGCACATGGTATGTACACTTAGACGAACATTGCATTATACTCAGAATTTTAACATTGCAAAAGTGATATATAACTTATATGAGGTACAATTAAACAAAAGCTATACATATATATAAACCATAAAGCAAAAGCAAAATGTAACTGAGAAAAGTATAGCATAGAAAACATAAATGACCACAGCAAAATCTTACCTTCAGAAGGTGCTGGAGGCTCGTACCAGGTAAGATTAAGGAGTTTGTAATCACCCACCAATGCAGAGTCAAAATGAACCTTATGTGTGGAAAGTGAAGAATTTATTGCAGCTGCGTCCCAAGTAGAAAAACTGATCCCTGTATGTGGAGTAATATCCATTGAGATGTTTAATTGTGATAAGCTGACAACATAAAAGTTGATCAGCTCAATTTGAGAAACTCGCAAACCAAGCTGGGATGCTAATTCTTCAAGAAATAGATTCCAATTAGGGTTTTGTGACACATTTAAGAGGAGAAGGTCAAGCTTTATAGGATACACACAGTGGCAACCATGACTTCCTCGTTTCAACACTGTGTCAGGTTTGCAACAACCTGGCGGAATAAGAAATAAAAACCAATGTGAACAACTAAGGTCCCAGCACAAATACAGATTTTGTTGGCAGATATGATTTTATTATCACTGGGAGATTCAGTGGGTTACGTGTGCTTGATTAATAGTTTAGACAGAAAGATAATATATCAAACTCTAATTCGAATTCTACTTTGATGGACGAGTTGCAACATAATCGATAAAAATGCATAAAAAAAGAGGAAATAAACAAATTTTTTGGAACACATCTTACCAGAGGAATCAGGAGACAGAGGTGGCTGAGCTAAACCAGCAGGAAGTGCACCATTACTGAACTGTGCAGGGGCAATATTTGCCAAGCCAGCACTGGGTGGCACTAATGTGCTCCTCTTCATTGATGGTTTAGACACACTTGAGCTTGTAGGGGGATGGCCAGATGTAACTAAGGGACCATGGAAAGGAGAATGGGCTGGTGCAACAGCAACAGTTGGTGCACCATGTAGTGAGAAATGTTTATGACGTGGTCTATGAAACTGTGGCACATTGGCTGGCAGGGGCAGATCAGGAATCGCTGGTGCAGGCAAAGGTGCTCGAGTTGGAGATACTGGTGGTACTTCGAGTAGATTGTTAGCTGAATTGGCATTGGTGATGAAAATCACGCTATATAAAATAACCAAAAGTTTTGCCAAGAAATGTTGAACCTCTTTTAGTACTCCTGCAAAATGTAGAAAAAAATTCATTCCACCAAGACAAAGAAAATATAGCAGCAATTATGCAACAAAAATCTGATTTACATTAAAAAGAAATCAGAAGCAATGTAATTGAGTTGCAGAATGGCTTCTAATTCAATTGCCCCCCACGAGCAAAAATACATATAAGCATCCTATGTCCATAAATTCAAGTCCATGTATGAGTGTGTAATTCAGCAAGCGTCTTAGCACCATTCTTTCCACAACAAACAACTATCATCTACGGCCAATTTCAACCAAACAAATATAAACATATAACCATAATATCCATGTTTGGCTACTATATATGATAAAAGAAATGAAAAGAAGAGATCCAATCTTTCAATTAAATACACACCACCAGTAAAATGAGCTCTTTAAACTCATTGAGATTAAACTTTTTGCCTTCTAAGAGGATAACAAGATAGAAACATGATATCCAAATTTCGTTTCTTTTTCTTCTCGTCATGTTATTGAATTATTATCAAAACAAAATAAATCAATAACCAAAGCGCCTGGTCAAAAATTAAAAATAAAATAAAAACCGAGCTCATGCAACTCAAATTTCTGCAGATAAGTCACTTCAATATATCAAGCACGATACCGACAGAACCCTATTAGCGATTAAATGACCACAGTAAAAATTATATAAATTAGATTCCTAAGTCTCGCAGATTAAAACTCGAAACTTTATTCTCCAATATAGCCTAACATAATTATTTAGAATAACTAATTAACTTTCCACTTTTCACAGAATCTATTGTGTAAACGACAATCTAATTTGTTTCTTTTCACACATTTTATCAGCTACAAAACCTGCATTTAAAACGACTCAAGTATCTCAGATTAAGAGCGAAATTGAAATGACAAAACAAATGAAAATTTAAAATTACCGGCGTTATTAAAAACTGCGAGCACCGACATCACCGACGCCGTTAACTAACACAAACGATTCAGATCTGCGAGATTTTAAATAAATCAACGGCGAGATCAGATCACGCTATAAATGTACATAAGACCCGAACACGAAAGGAACACTATAAGAACAACACATTTGTAATAGCCACTGAAGGAGGATCCAACGGTGGAGATAGCGTCACTAAATTCAAAACTCTGAAAAAACAACTCGGAGTCAAAACTGCCATTACTGTGTCGTCGAGTCCGAGAGGTTGAACTTTGTAGAAGTCGAACTTGGAGAGAGAGAAATAAATAAGAGTACAGACTCTGAACTGTTGCTGATTTGGTTGAGATATCGTTGGTTTTACTCTGTTATCAGTGCTAGAGAAGCTTTTGGTTTAGTACTACTAGTCTTTGAGTTTATTTTATAAATTTATACTATTTAATTTATTAAGTTTTGCTTTTCTTCCATGTGTAAGAAAAAACAAAAAAAAATAATAAGTAGCGCACAGTCCTTTAATTATGGCCGAATTGCGCTGTTAACGGAAAAGAACAAATTAACGGTAAAAAAAAGTCACCACTGTTTCAGAAGCTCAGGTGTCTGCTCCCTGCAGTTAGAGAGTATATACGCTACACTGACAATACGTGTTTTTCTCACTGACAGTCGATGTGCTGACCGTGTGATTGGCTGATTGCTATCCGCAGTTAAACATTGTCAGAAAAAAAATAAATGAATCAGATAATTGTAAGAAGACTTTAATCACGTCATCACCCACATAAATTTGTGGCGCGTTGAAATTGGTGGGATAAAGTTAAAAAAATATATCGGTTAAAAAAACAATAGAGCCATCAGGGGGATATTCCACTATTCCCGGCCAATCATAAATATATGGCCATAGTCATTTTCGTGTAATTATTGATTTATTGTTGAATCGGATAGGCTTTATTAATTGTTGCTTAAATGATAGATCACAAAAATACTATTGTTTACGGAAAGAGTAATACTACATTTACAAAGTCCCCATACAAAGATATATGTATAAAGTGATGTGTCATACCATGATTGGACAATGAATTTGACTTTAGTTAAAAAGTTGACTTTACAAATTCACTCTCCCAATCATAGTATGACACCTCACTTTGTACACACATCTTTGTGTGAGGACTTTGTAAGTGTAGTATTATTCTTACGGAAAATACAAAGAAAGTTTGCCAATACAAAATTCTGCATGAAATTCACGTGGCATAAGGCACAGCCATGAATCTTGAGAGAGGTAAAACCAAATTGCCACGAAGCAAGACTTTTAATCCATTGAAAGCGAAGTATCGAAATTAAAAAGCTTGGGAATTAGAAACAGGATATTGGCAAAATATGGGAAAAAAATCTCCACGTAATTTGTATTTGTATACAAGGCAATGGCATGCACGAGTACTAAAACATTAGTTAGGGTGACAATGCCAACTACCTGACTTGGATTGGATACTGCTAATATAGTATCTGTTAGGTCCCCACCCTCTTGTCTTTTTTCTACTATCCATTGTTTAATTTTATTTATTTATATTTATCATGATTTAAGGACATTTTTACCCGGAGGTTTAGTGTAACTGTGTAAGTAAAATGATAACCCAATCGAATTTTCTACAAACTTATTCCCCCAATCATGCAACCGATGTTAGTTAAATTCAACAGAGGTGAGGGGATTTTCGTTAATCAATTGAATTCTTTAAATAAAGGTTTAAAATGTCTCTCCCACAATATTATGGTTGACACGAAAACCGCATTAGCTAGAGCGCTCCGATTAATCTTGGTTTGTTGATACAAAAACCACAACAATCAAAGCGATATGATTGACCTTGGTAGAATCAAAACGGGTGTGTGTATGATTAAGGATAACCAGCAAAGTATGAGAGTAAATGCAGTAATTTGAATGACACAAAAGACTTTTTAACATGGTTCGGCAAGTTATGATCTTGAGCCCACGTCTACTGGTTTTTCTTATTTACTTTAAGAGCTTACAAGAATGTAGTATAATTTCTAGAACAAATTGTTAACCCCCTTTCCCTCGTTAGAAGGGGTTTATATACAAGTTTTGTATAAAGGAAATAGTGAAATTAAACGAACTACAATCAATATTGAAATGCAACTCCGATATTCTCGCAATTGAACGCTGAGATTGTGTCATTATCATTGTCGATTTGATCCCTTCCGAAATACCCGGGATCTAAGTTTATTTGTGATCTGCTTGAACAACTGTCAAGATTGGTCACGACTAACTTATGCTGGGTCGACCTATATCTCGACGAGTTTATGTTGGGTCAGACAATCGTTTGAACCAAACCGATTCTGGGTCAAACTATAACCTCGCATAACTCTGACTTCTCCGATCTTGCTAGAAAAATCACACACAATAATTATTATAATCTTTTCTCTTTTTTTTTTTTTTGGATAAACTCGATAATTACCTTTTCTGGAACTCGAAAACAAGACACTTTGACTAATCCAGTGACTAAATAACTTGTCATCCAACCACAAGGGGAGAGATTATTATAATATTTATGAACTAACTTTTAATGTAATCTTTGAAGGTGAAAGCTAACTTCGTGAAATTGGATATATGCTATGTTAACGAAGAGTGGTAAAAGACGAAGGTGTGTTTGTTTTATTATTTTTAGTAGTATTTTTTAAATATTATTATTAAGTTGATTTGAGTTATTATTACGAGATATGATTTAAAAATTAACAAAAAAACCCGTAGGTTTGTTAATTTAGCTAAACACCCCTAATAATTAAAAAGTTTATAAATTGACAAAAGCATCCCCACCCACCAACAGTTGTTAGATTTAGGCTACCATGGCCAAATCTGGCTGGAATCCGGTGTCATTGGACACGACTGGCCAGATCTGGCCGATCGTGCGCCGCTATAGCCTTTTTCGGTCAGATCTGGTCGTTGACGGCCAAATTTGGCCACATTTGGTCGTTAACGACGACCATATATTAGCCGTCATTGACGACCATATCTTTGGCCGTGGGTTTGACATTTTCTGACCAGATCTACGATGGATCTGGCAAAAAAAGGCCAGATCGAAGCACTACCAGTTAGATCTAGCCTGTAGTGCGCTACTACGCCAAATTCTGGCCACCTTTCGATGGTGGTTGCCAGAATCTGACAAATGTGAGTGAGGGTGTTTTTGTCAATTTATAAAACTTTTTTGTTGGAGGTGTTTAGTTAAATTAACAAACTTATGGGGGTTTAAAAGGTTGAATATTATAGGAGAATATTGAAATAAACGTGCATCCTTTTAAGAATAGGAATAGATATTTTGAAAACAGGAAACAAGCACAGCCGAACATGGGGATGATTGAGAAGAGGAGAATTGAAAACATATAACTTTTTATTTTACTACAATTGAATAAGACAAAAAGGGTGATACAGGCTTTCTAATTAAAAATGAGTTGTTAGAAGAAACAGCCTTTAAATCTAGGGATGACTCTGTTTGTAAAAAATGTTACTGAGTTATCATAAGCTTCCCTGAACCTCAAGGGGGCAAAATGTCTTTAACTCATATTATCATCTGTTTTACGCTTCCCCTATATCGTCCAAATTTTGGTAATAAAGGCAATCTCACGTAATCAATCAATATGATTAATTAAATCAAACGAAACAAAACAAAAGATCTATGTACCAAATATTATAATTTAATAACGAATCTAATATTTATATGATTTAAATATTATGCAGTCCAATATTTGTGCCAACTCTCGTATGTGCTTGAGACATGTTTGTTATTGTCCACTGAACAACTATCACCCACTTACATTTTAAATCTCACTTGTTTCTTTAATTGTTAAAATTAATGTATAAAATATGTAAGTAATACATTATAAAATACTGTCGTAGTTTATTTAATTTGTAAATCCATCAACAACCCGGAGTGAGCATGTATCAAAAGGTGCTTGGCAAAAGATCCTTGTCAACGTTAACGTGATAATTATCATAATTACGATCATCAATTGACAGCAAAACTAAATTGTACAAGAAAGTAATTATCAAATTATTATTATTATTTTTTGTTACTTATTGCTTGCAACTTGCAAACGTCATGATTTTGGTGGTCTACTTACTTACCTTGTGGCTCTCACACCGTCACACGTGCTTATATGATTTTGTCTGTCAGGCTTATTACCTAACAGCACCCTCACTCTTCTGTATAGCTACCTAACTCCACCTCCTTCACTTGTTTAACAGTTAAATTCAACAGAGGTGAGGGGATTTTCGTTAATCAATTGAATTCTTTAAATAAAGGTTTTAAAGTGTCTCTCCTCTCTGTTGTCTCTCCCACAATATTATTGTTGACACGAAAACCGCATTAACTAGAGTGATCTGATTAACCTTAGTTTGTTGATACAAAAACTGCACCAATTAAAACGATCTGATTGACTTTGGAGGAATCAGAATGGGTGTGTGTATGATTAAAGATAACCAATAAAGTATGAGAGTAAATGTAGTAATGTGAATGACACAAAAGACTTTTTAAAATGGTTCGGCAAATTATGATCTTGAGCCTTTGTTTACTGTTTTTTCTTATTTACTTTGAGAGCTTACAAGAATGTAGTATAATTTCTAGAACAAATTATTAACCCCCTTTCCTTTGTTAGAAGGGGTTTATATATAAGTTTTGTATAAAGGAAATAGCGAAATTAAATGAATTACAATCAATATTGAAATGCAACTCCGATATTCTCGCAATTGAGCGTTGAGATTGAGTCATTATTGCTGTCGATCTGATCCCTTCCGAAATACTCGGGATCTAAGTTTATCTGTGATCCGTTTGAACAACTGTCGAGATTGGTCGATACTAACTTATACTAGGTCGAGCTATATCTCGATCGATGAGCTTATGTTGGGTCGGACAATCGTTTGAGTCAATTGATTCTGTGTCGAACTATAACCTCGCAGAACTCTAACTTCTCTGAGCTTGCTAGAAAAATCACACACAATAATTATTATAATCTTTTTTCTTTTCTTTTTTTCTTTGGATAAACTCGATAATTGCCTTTTCTGGAACTCGAAAACAAGACACTTTGACTAATCCAGTGACTAAATAACTTGCCATCTGACCACAAGGGGAGAGATTATTATAATCTTTATGAACTAACTTTTAGTGTAATCTTTGAAGGTGAAGGCTAACTTCGTGAAATTGGATATCTGCTATGTCAACGAAGAGTGGTAAAAGACGAGTGAAATTGGATATCTGCTATGTCAACGAAGAGTGGTAAAAGACGAAGGTGTGTTTGTTTTATTATTTTTAGTAGTAGTTTTTAAATATTATTGTTAAGTTGATTTGGGTTATTATTACGAGCTATGACTTAAAAATTAACAAAAAAAAACCCGTAGGTTTGT